AGCCAATCACTAGGCTAGCTCGAGCCCAATCCGAAAGGGTATCTCAAACAATTTTGGGAACCCTAATATTGAATCACCTACATCAAAACACATCAACACTTGATGATTAATTCATAAATATGATCAAGATTCAATCTTTAACATGCATAGGGGCTGCCTTGTTATGTGAAAGCATCGGCTAGGGCTTGGTGGCCTTTGACTATCAAAGTTTTCAGCCTTCCTTAGTCATACTAGTTTTTGGCTGCCACCCTATGGCCTTCTCAATCATGGCCGCTACCCTTGTCCCCACAAGGTGATACCTTTCCCCTTAAAGGTCGAACCTTTATGCATGACAAGAGACTATGCTTTCAAAAAACATCATTTTAAGAATCAAAACTTGAATCAATGTAGGTTTCAAAACCAATTTCGAAAATTCAATGAAATATAAACCCCACGCGTCTTACAGTAACGAACCAGGCTCTGATACCACGTGAAAGTCAAAATTGGCTGCACAAAGGTCCCACCTTGATGCGCCTACATGAGGGTAAAAACAAAAAAAATGGTCTTTGATGCGGAAGCATAGACAATCTATGCGCCTCATGTTTTAGGATCTTCCCGTTAAACATGTAGGGTTTAAAATTCATACCTTTTTCACTTGAAGGTGTCAAAGTGGATGACTCCCTCTAACAGTAATCCACACGGCTACCTCTTGGTTGCTTCTGAGAAACGCTTTCTCCCTGAACCCTCCATTTCCTTGGAAGCTCGCTAGGCTGCAGCAAGGTGGAGGCTTTCAAGTGTTTTTATTTATTTTTCTCAAGACTGTAATGTTGTCTTTCAAGTGTTTTTATTTATTTTTCTCAAGACTGTAATGTTGTCTTAAGGTTAGGTAAGAGGACCAATAATGGAGGAAGCGAGATGAAAATTAATAGGATTTTAGTCCAGAGAGGCGCGGTATATTTTGATCTGAAGAAAAAGACATTATTTTAACGTTGTTCAGCAAATCCCTTAATCAGCATTTAGAGATGGACGTTACATTAACGTTTCCTCATCAAATCCCTTAATCAGCATTAAGAGATGAACGTTACATTAACATTTCCTCATCAAATCCCTTAGTCAGCATTAAGAGACAGACGTTACATTAAATATAATTTTATTTAAATTCATAATTCAAATAAAATAGATACAGATAAGGATAATTCAAAACTATCCTTAATTACCTAACCTCTTGAATTTAAATAAAATTAAATTCGATTTTATCCTACCCGGCAATTTAAATTTGAATTCAAATTCGAAAATTCAAATTCAAATTTCGAATTGCGCCAAAAACTTATTTTGGCTAAGTCAACTATTTGACTTTAGGATTCATGGCCCAATACCGTATTGGGCCTACTAACACATTTGGGCTTATTAATAGAAAAATTAATCTTTCACTAATAGTCCAAAGGCGCATGATGATATTGGACTTGGAGTTCAACTCCAACCCAATTACACCTATAATCTTGAAAAACCCAATAAAACTTATTGGTCCAAACTTGCTAAATGTAAGCAATCAAGAATAACCTTAGTGTGTGACCCATTAGGCTCAATTAGTCACTGACATAAATAAACTTGAACCAATTAAACTCTTTTAACAGGCCCAATTTATCTAATGACCACATAAGACACTAGCAATGCTCTGCAGCCCCAGAACTAATTGAGTTGATCAGTGATCTACCTTTCTAGTTTGGATACCGTGCCGGCATCATCCCTCACAACGTCATTCACATTTAGTCGAGAGCAAGGATAGAGTATCATCTCTCTTTATTGACTAAATATAATATTTCACAGGAACTAGGAATCTTCTTCCATTGACTCTAAGATAGATCATGACTCTTCATGATCTCTTACTATGCATAGATTCCCGAGTCAACTAGAAGTCATCCAAGCCCTACCGGTCTTGTGAACGACTAATCCCTTATAGGGGATTGTGAAGTCCTTTTGGCATGTTCATCTATACTCATGTATTCGAGTCATACCCAAGAGTACACTGTTCTCCCCATTTTTCAGGCGGATAAAGTTGTACAGTCAAAGTATAACTCTAGGACATAGTATTCGATGACATCCTTAAGTCTAGGACGATCTGCACTACCAAACGATGAGACTTTACAAATCCAATGATACTCTCTATAATGAATCCTTATGGAGTCTCTCGGTGGGTCAGTTCAGTGCTATCTGTTCTCTAAAAGATCCACCCACTACATCACCTAAAACATCACCTAAAACATCACCATGCCTGCATTCCATGAGGTTCCTACCTCGTATCTTTATACAAATAAATGACGTCGTACTAGTCTTATTGAGATCACCAATACCCTTTCTTGGTGATTCAAGACCAGGAACAGATTTTAGATAATAGACATACAGTGTCCTCGAGTCCTCATGATCATGATCCCTATCATAGATCCCCGAGTGAACACCTGTTCTATTCATAGTCTTTATCTTTATTCACATATTAACAATAAAATATTGGCGAGACATAAATATGATAAAGATAAAGTTTGCTCAAATTTATAAATCATGAAATACCACTTCGAAAAAGGTGTTCATCTGATAAAACAGATTGTCTCTTGGACACCTATATACTAACAATCTCCCACTTGGCCTAGAGCCAATCAGGTCGACGTGTCAAACCTAAAGACTCATAATGACTATCATGTTTTCTCTTAGAGAGACCCTTCGTCAGAGAATCGGCCAAATTATCATTAGTGGGGACGTAGTCCATCTTTATTTCCAGTCTTTCAATAATCTCCCGGATGAGGTGATACTTGCGGAGCACATGCTTGGATCTCTGATGAGACCTGGGTTCTTTGCCCTGGGCTATTGCACCAGTGTTGTCACAATACAAAGATATTGGATCAACAATGCTCGGAACTACTTTTAAACGTTCTCTTAGCCCGTTTGGATCAATAACCTGGTGCGCCTACATGATGGTAAAAACAAAAAAATGGTCTTTGATGCGGAAGCATAGACAATCTATGCGCCTCATGTTTTAGGATCTGCCCGTTAAACATGTAGGGTTTAAAATTCATACCTTTTTCACTTGAAGGTGTCAAAGTGGATGACTCCCTCTAACAGTAATCCACACGGCTACCTCTTGGTTGCTTCTGAGAAACGCTTTCTCCCTGAACCCTCCCTTTCCTTGGAAGCTCGCTAGGCTGCGGCAAGGTGGAGGCTTTCAAGTGTTTTTGTTTATTTTTCTCAAGACTGTAATGCTGTCTTGAGGTTAAGTGAGAGGACCAATAATGGAGGAAGAGAGATGAAGAGAAAGAGGGGCGGCCAAAATTAGGATTTTAGTCCAGAGAGGCGCTGTATATCTTGATCTGAAGAAAAAGACGTTACTTTAACGTGGTTCAGCAAATCCCTTAATCAGCATTAAGAGATGGATGTTACATTAACGTTTCCTCATCAAATCCCTTAATCAGCATTAAGAGACAGACGTTACATTAAATATAATTTTATTTAAATTCATAATTCAAATAAAATAGAAATAATAAATCTCTATCTAATCATATTAGATACAGATAAGGATAATTCAAAACTATCCTTAATTACCTAACCTCTTGAATTTAAATAAAATTAAATTCGATTTTATCCTAGCCCGCAATTCAAATTTGAATTCAAATTCAAAATTCGAAAATTCAAATTCAAAATTCGAAAATTCAAAATTCAAATTCAAATTTTGAATTGCGCCAAAAACTTATTTTGGCCAAGTCAACTATTTGACTTGCTAGGATTCATGGCCCAATACCGTATTGGGCCTACTAACACATTTGGCCGCCCCTCTTTCTCTTCATCTCTCTTCCTCCATTATTGGTCCTCTCACCTAACCTCAAGACAACATTACAGTCTTGAGAAAAATAAACAAAAAACACTTGAAAGCCTCCACCTTGCCGCAGCCTAGCGAGCTTCCAAGGAAAGGGAGGGTTCAGGGAGAAAGCGTTTCTCAGAAGCAACCAAGAGGTAGCCGTGTGGATTACTGTTAGAGGGAGTCATCCACTTTTACACCTTCAAGTGAAAAAGGTATGAATTTTAAACCCTACATGTTTAATGGGCAGATCCTAAAACATGAGGCGTATAGATTGTCTATGCTTCCGCATCAAAGACCATTTTTTTGTTTTTACCCTCATGTAGGCACATCAAGGTGGGACCTTTGTGCAGCCAATTTTGACTTTCACGTCTTAAGTCCCGTAAATGTCATCCCGGTTTCACCGATCTACGGATAATCTAATTTCTAACAGAGAATGACGAATTCCTTCAGCTTATCGCACTAGCTCTGAGTCCTTAGGGCATGCCCAAGAGTATACATACGAGTCTCTATGTTTCAGGCAGACAAGGTATACGATTAAAGCAAGCCTTTCAGAGCACAGGTCTATATGACAACATCAGGTCTAAGGAAAGACACACCCAAATAATAAGAGACATTACCTATTGATACTATTTGTGAGATTTTCTTGTAGTGTCTCGTTGTGGGTCAATTCAGTGCGAGCTATTCTCCAATAGTCATGTGTTAATTGTTTAGTGACAAGTCATCTGTCGTAGCCATTGTTGAATGTTTGGATGTTCTCTGTCTTTGTTAATTGTTTAGTGATGTGTACTGAATGTGATGAGTCATCCCTGTTGTCTGTTGTTTAATTTTTCTTTCAATTGCTGTTGTTAGTGTCAAGGGGCTGTACCTCTACCTCCAGTGAAATTACACCATTAATAGAAGTGTTTGTTCCCATATTTCTGTGTAATTCATTATTGTATATCTGGGTGCCATCAATGAACTTTTGACAAATAAACATTTAGTTAAAGGGCAGACCGTAATTATTGCACTTGAAATTTCACATCTATCATACAGCTGTTAATAATGGGTGAATTATTGGTTAATTCTGTTTATCTATTAATTAAAGGAATTAAGGTTTTTGCTTGGAAAGACTAGCTATTAATCTGTTAACCAATCAAAACACATTGTTAACTAATAATTCATCCATCATTAACAGGTGTAGTTGGGGACTTCGGGTAAGGAATTGCAAGTTTTGAAGAAGCATTTTCCTTGTGAGATTAGAGACTCAGATACACAACTTTACTCCCAAGAGTTGAAGAGGGCTATTTTGCGATTAGTGTTCTGGACCACGTTGAGCCATGCTCACCCTCAAGGAGTTTTTGTATGCAGAAATTTAGATGGACAAACAATTGACCAACACCTAGCATGTTGATGGCCATACCAGCAAATCCGAGCCCAGAAATTAGCCTGTGTTACGGCTATAATCTGAACCAAGCTGGTGGTCTCCAGCCTAAGTTGAATTCATTATGAAGAAACTACGGTTCTACAGTCCAAATTTTAAATACTTTCAAAATTCAGTGTATGTGTTGATACGAGGTGAACGTTAGTAGTACCCTAGTATTGTAAAAATTTTATTTTCATAAACTTTTGGTGACTATTTTAATATTAAATATGGATATTAGTTGCCACCATGACTTTTACATGCTCTTGTAAGTTCGTTTATGTTTCTTCAACATTTCTGTTTCCTATGTTACTTATGAGTTATGCTATGAAATTGTGGGCGAGAGTTATTAAATATTGCTTATGGAAGGAGATCAAGGTCTCTGTAAATTAATTTGTGCTTATGTCAAGATGTACTATGGAGGCCATTTTCTTGGTATGACTATTAATAGAAAAATATAGAGAAAAGAAGGATTTACATATGGTGCTTATGGATATTAAGAAAGCGAATGATAAGGTTCCCATGAAAGGTTTTATGGTGAGTTCTTGAGTAGAAAAAAGTACCAGCAAAGTCTTTGAAGCCAATTATAACATTAAAATGCATATTACTAGTTAAATTGAGAGCTAAGGGGTATGTTTAGCGAAAATCCCAAGTTCTGGGTCAAAATACGTATGAAGGAACGGTAAATCAACAAATATGTAACCCTAAATTGTAAGATGATAGAATTAGACCTCAATTGATGAAAATAATACTGAAAATGGATTTAGAACAAAAAATTGAGAGGTTAGATAAGTTTTTTTGAAAATTGATGAATAGTATTTTTCTAGATGAAATACTGCGGTACAGTTGCACCGAAAACGTGCAAAATGAGATTAGTGCTCTAGAATTGAATATATGTTTGAAAAGGTATTTAGAACCAAGAAATATGATTATTGGTATAATTTGATGGATTTTAGGATTTTTGGGGAAGCGTGCCAACGGTGCACCATTAGGGGTAAAACAATAATTTCACCAAATTACTGGAAAACTCTGGATTCATCTGTTCAAGGGTACTTAAAGGACCTTGGTAAATGTTAAATTTTTGATTTATGGATAGTTCATAAATTAATTGAAGATTAGTGGTGAGATTAAGTAAGTTTAAGTGAGACGGCACTTGTGGGACCCACCCTACTTAAATGACCATTATGAAACTCATCACTTAAATGGCACATGTGGAAATCAGAATTTGAAACTCATCTCTTTCCTTCACAGCTGCAAATTTCATGGGTCACCATTATATAACCCTAATTTAGATAATTCAAAATTAGAGTTATTATGAGGACCTAAGGGTCATTAATGAGATGATGAAGAAATTATATAAATTTTGATATTCATATTGATGGGTGGATTTCTGCCTATTATTTTTGACTGTTGATGCAACAACAGACTGTAGAATAACCCTAATCAGGTGAATCAGAGTTAGAGAGTTATTCTAATGATACCAGCATCACAGATGAGTTTAGAATTCAATTCTGTGAAGTTTGACATCCACATTGTGGGTATTCTGGGAAAGTGAGTCTTGACCTAATAGTTTGTATTGCTAAGGCAGTAACAAGTATCTGATTAACCGTAATCAATGAATCTGAGGTAGAGGACTATTCTAAGGATATAATTATCATAAATGATAAGAGGATTTGATTTTGTGAATTCTGATACCCATATTGGGATATTTTGATAAAGTCACTTCTACCGAATATTTTGTACTGTTGTGGAAGCACCCGGTAGAGTTCAGAAACGAGAAAAAGATGAGAAAAGAGAATATAAGTCCAATATATGCCAAACAAGTCAGAATTAGACCAATGATATAAAAATTAATAAAGTTATGAAGTCCGGGAACAGTCAAGGATACCCGTAAGGACTACAGTGTAGTTAAATAGCAGTAAGCGTATATGTGAGATACTAATTATATTTTTGAGTTAGAAACATGTTAATTAAACAAACTTAATATTAATTACTTTAATGTTTCTGATAAATGATAGAAAGCCACTTAAGTGACATGACAAAACCCTAAAAATATAAGGAACCCCTCTTCCTTCCCATCCATCCAGCAACCCCTCACTTCTCTCTAAGATTTCACCACTTAAACTTCATCAAAATCCAAAACACTCTTCACAAATCTTGTTCCTTAGCCTTTGAACTTGTGAAAGCTTGTGTTCCTGACCATTGAACCTTAAATTTAGTGGCAGTAAACTTACCATACAACAGTTGTATGTGAAAGTTGGAAATGGCCTTGAAAGCCGATGCATGCTGGAGGGAAAAACAAAACTTTTTCATTGCGGAACACACATGCATTCAAGATCATGCTTTAGGAAAGCATGATGTTACCTTGTTCGTGAAAACTCGTGATGATCAAGGTAGGTCTAACGTTGATCCACACCACCCACTGCGTCTAGGTGCAAGAACTCCTTCTTGTGAAACCGCCAAGTGATCACTACAATGAGGCTTGCTAAGCGCACACTGTGTGAAGAGAAAGGCTAGGTAAAAGTGTTTGAAAGAGTGAAGCTTTCAATGTGAAAACTTCACAAAAAGTGGCGCAGGAGAGGAAAAGAGAATGGCTTGGTTGGTTTTCTAAAAACCCTAGAAGGAACATATATATAGAGGCGCACAAGAGGAGCCTATTTGTTAAAAACAAATCAGATTTTTAATCAATAAAAATCCCTTCCAAAAGGGCGCTCCATCAAAGAGAGAGAGAATAGGATTTGTTGCAAATCAAATCTCATCAAATCTCATCAAATCTTGCCAACAACATCCTATCATATCTTTATGATATATTAGGTTCAAAACCTAATCAAATATCTGATCATAAATCATCATATAATCAGTTATATGGTGCGCCCCATATAGCCTAAATAATGACCAGATACATTTGAGTAGTTGCATTCAAACTTGAATCAAATCACTCAAATATTCTCCCAACAGATCGTATCTTCTGGAGCTTATTCTGATGACTAACCAACAGCCAAATCAGCACCCCAAATCTTCTTATATTATGTCCAAAAGATTTCCTCTTGATATGTTCCAACAAGATCTCATCTTATCCTTTTGTTATGAAACAATTTTTCATAGCCAATTCAAATTCGAATTTCAAACATTTGAATTCAAACTTTCAAACACTTAAATATTAAATTCAAATTCAAATTTCAAATTTCAAATTTCAAATTTCAAAATTCAAAATTCAAAATTCAAAATTCGAATTTTAAAATTCAAATTCAAAATTCAAAATTCAAAATTCAAAATTCAAAATTCAAATTTCAAAATTCAAAATTTAAACATTTGATAATTAATTTAACTAATTAAATTAATTAGTAATGTCTTGGACTATCCAAGCCCATTACTTAGATCCATGCGCCCTCCACCCTATCTGTGGAGTTCCAAACTACTTCTTGGGTTAATAACAATTGTTAGGCCCAATACCATTAATGCTAGAGCATCTAGACAATTAGGTGTTAGTGTGTGACCCATTAGGTCCAACATAGCCACTGACATAAATGGGCTTGGGCCCAATAAGCCCACACATCTAATGACAACACAGAGCACTAGCAATGCTTTGTTGCCCCAGAACTAGTTAGATTAGTGACTTGATCATCCTATTGCACATATTTGGTTGCCGTATATATTTCCTTTCGTCTCGGTTACCTTCCCATAAAACCTAGGGTAAGGAAGCGTATCAACCCCTGCGATTTAGGGTAAGCTTTATTCGAAATAGGGAATCTTCAATTTACAGACTCTAAAGGCAGATCATCTCATGATCTCTTTTACTATGCATAGATTCTCGAGTCCCTGTAAATGTCATCCCGATTTCTCCGGTTTACAGATAACCTAATCTCTCACAGAGATTTGACGAATTCCTTCAGCTTATCACCCTAGCCCTGTGTTCTTTCAGGATAAGCCCAACAGTATACCTATGAGTCTCCATGTTTCAGGCAGACGAGGTGCACAATCAAAGCATGCCTTCTAGAACACAGTCTAGGTAATAACTTCTGGTCTTAGGAAAGACATACCCAAATATAAAGAGACTACTCTAATGATACTCTCTGTGAGAGTTCCTCATAGAGTCTCTTTGTGGGTCTGTTCAGTGCGAGCTATACCCTTATAGGTCCACCCACGACTTTAGCTAAGACATCTCCATATCTGTAGCACATGAGGTCTATACCTTGTATCCATATACAAGTAGATAAGTCGTGCTAGTCTTACCCGAGATTACTGACCCCATTCTCAGTATCTCTAGACTAGGAACATAAAATTAGGAATAAACATCCGGTATTCTTGAATCCTCATGATTGTGATCTCATCACAGATACTCAAGAGATACCTATTTTATTCCACGGGGTTTATCAAGTTATTCATAATATATTAACATTAATATCGAGACAGAATTATGAAACAAGATAAAGAGTGCTTTTATTTATTTGCGACAATATTAAAAAGGTCTACATCTATGTCCTTATTTAATCATAAGATTGTCTCTAGGACACCCAAATACTAACAGTATGTTTATTCCTTTTATGGCAAAAATGGTGGTTGAAGCTCCTTATTGAAGAACACTTCTTCTTTGGTCATTCTTTGAGTTTCTAGTGTAAGTTCCTTACATTTTTTTCTTGAAAAACCCTATCTTTACTCTTCTAAAATTATGTTTTTGGTTTTAAATCCTTGAATATCTTATGAAGGTGTGTTCTTGGTGAAAAAGAAGCCTGATGCTCACCGACAAGTGTACCGATCGCACAAGTAATACAGTGATAAGAAAAGTATCGTCTCCACAGGGATTGTGATCAAATATCAAATAATCGTCCTTTTAAGATGGGAGGAATTCAAATAGGTGTGTGAAAATTGTTGTTGATATGAGTAACAATAAGAACTAAAAATAAAGACTTATTTTTGGCTTTTTGTTTATGAGAAATAAAACAGAAATTGATTTTGTAAAATATGGGAAGGCATTGTAGCTAGAGTGCACTCACCAAATGATTCTCGCTTCTTACTTTGGATTGATTTACAATATTCATTTATATAATTACTCAGATAAATTATTATCTAAAATTATTCAGTAGTTAACCCTCAATTCCTTGCAAGATTAATCCTTTAACCCCAATTCCTTGCAATGTTCCTCATGGCATTAAGCAATGAACCCAATAATTTAAGCATCTGCAATTA